TGGGTGCCAGTGATGAGCCTTTTTTTGTTTTTATTTTTTCTTTTTTTTTTTAGCCATCCCTTCAGGTAGCTGGCAAGCCCTAAAGTTAGGAAAGAAAGGGACCTCTTTTAAACACTGTATTTCTCTGCTTTTTCAGTAGCCAGCTGCAACTGTGTAATTAAATTGTCAAAGTGAAACGTTACGGTCTGAGCCGCGCATCGTTCTCGCACTTGAGCGCGGAGAGACCCCTTTTCTCTCCCTCTCGCCTCCTCCTCTGCTTGACGTGCTCGGGTTCGTCACGGCGGCAGAGGTGTTGCTGAGGGGTGGCTGTCCGGGGGCTGCTTTGGATGGAAGGGTATTTATCGTGCCGAGGGGCTGTCCTGCCTGATAGCAAGGGGTGCCAATCCAGCTGTGCTCGGGAGGTAGCGCTTGAGGCGGCCGCTCCAGATGTTAGGAGGGCTGCGATTGCACAAAAACGTTATTTCAGGACTTCTTTTATCGTTAGGTCGCTGCTCCAGGCTTGATCGGTCCTACTTTTTGTGCCCGTTTTCCACGTCTGTTTGGTTTATGTCTCTAATTCCCCAAAGTTGGGAACAATGTATTGCGAGACTTCAGCTGAACTTCTTGTTGTTGTTGTTGTTTAATGCGCCGATAAAGTGACTAAAACAGCACAGTCTGATTGTGAGATAAAGCTGCTGACATTTAGTTTGAATATGTCATTTATTAAAAGGCTGATTGTAAGTGGGGGACTGCCTGGAAAATGTCACGCATTCACATAGTATGTATACTATATAGGCGAGTATATAAATATGCATGATGCCTAGTGAAAATATCTTTGCTTTCCAGACCATTGATCTCCCCATGTAAAATTAAACGGGAATGCACAATCCTCCCCCTCTCCCCTCTTTTGCACACCACTAATTTCGGATAGGTGCCCTTTCCTGCCTAAGGCAGGCGTTCTTGCTCCTGCTGCCTGCACGATGAGCATGTACACAGTCCTGCGCGCACATCAGCTGGAAATGTGGACAAGAGTAGTATTAGTGGAGGGAACAAACTGACGTGTCTGTGCGTCTCTTCGGAAACAAACCGTACTGGTTTCAGGTCCCGAGGAGCAGTATTATTCTTTGCGAGATACATGACACATTCTGTTTTCGGAGAGGGCTCTGTACAGGCGCCGGAGAGTAAGAGTCACTGCTCGTTGTAGTCCCGCGTAGTTTTGAGGACTGCGGAGGTCTGTAGCATAGGGCATTGGCCCCTTGGAGCATCGCTTCATGCGATCTGTATGGATTGCAGCTTTTAAGTTTCATAGGTTCTAGAATTACAAATTAGCTAATTTTAATCAAAACATGTGAAATGTTATCCTGGCTGGATATAAAGGCTGACTGTGCTGGATCCTCTGGGTTTGTTTTGTTTACTTTGGCTGCAGGCACACTCAGCGGTTTGGGAGATAGTTGTTCTTCTACAGTATAACAGATGTTTGTCTGAAAGGGTGAGGAAGAAACAAAAACAACATTGTGTGAAGGAGAAAAATTACACAATTTTAAACTAATGCTTTGGTATTAAGCACTGGCGTTAACCTTCACGTAGAGAGTTTCTCTTTTTTAATCGTGGGTAGCTGCTTAAGGTTAGAAACCTCGGGATTTCAGCTGACTTAAAAATTAAAGGCGGGTAGAAAGGGCATTTTGAACCAATGTGATTTCTGGTCGAGAGTGAGATAGCTGATGGCAGAACCTTTCACAAATCACGGGCTACCTTTCAACGTAAACTATGCTATATATGCTGTGCTGGGAGACTCCGTTTTTAGGAGGACAGTTGGCTGCTATCATCCAAGGAGGGTAAAGAGAGGGGGGAGAAAAAAAAAAAAAAAAAGTGGTTTGAATTTTTGACTGGTCTAGTAAGTTATAATCCTGTGGTGATCGTTTACTCTTTTTTCTTTACTGATGAATTAAGATGTCTAGTTGCTCTTCATAAAGCCGAGGAATACAATAATGTAACAAATTGGTTACACTGTGCAAAACGTTTGCAGCGCAATGACAGGGGGAGCACAATGTGCCCTTGTGTAGGTTCATATCTGTAACGTTCGAACAGGCTGACTGTTTCCCTTCATCTGAACTGCTTTCATCTGGACCGGTGTAAAATAAGCTCTGGTAAGTAATCACGGCAGAGCAGAAAGAAAGGAATGTATACAGCAATAGACAGCCTAAGCTGTAAAAACTGTAACCCGAGTATCAGCAGCAGATCAGATATCAAGGCTTTAAGGTAGGGGAAATGAAAGAGATGAAGGGGAGGAAAAGACGAGAGAGGGAATGGAAAAGTCAGCTTAGAAAGTGAAGGAGAAGTAGGAGGGCCCCCTCAGGGAAATTTGGCTCAGGGATTAGGGAATTTTATCATGGTGTACAGTGACCTACTCAGGTTTCAGCCCACGTTGGATTGAATTGCCTCCCTTTGCTAGCAGAAAGAAAAAGGACTGGTGTATGTGTGATTTTTTTTTTTTTCCTTTGGGTAATAAAAAGGCCATTGGCACAAGTGCCTATTTTAAGTACAGCAAATGCAGGGCACTATGAATGAGCAATAAAATTACCTCATCACAGAGACTTCCTTCAAGATTTACTGTTTGATACAGTCAGGTATTTACTCAAGGAGGATCACAACACCTAACTGCTTGGTTTGGTGTCTTCCAAGAGAAGTGTCACAGCTCGGTTTTAACATGACTGGATGGATATTCAGGTTGCTTGCTCTTTCCTTATGCCGGATATTAAGTTACATTTTTGTTATCGCTAACCTAATGTACATGATGGTTATAACAAATTTTAATTTGATACAATGTTATGTGCAAAAAGTACATGACTCTGCACAGTTTTCTGATATTACATTTCAATGAAAAATATATTCAGGAGGAACTGTTTTGTTTCGCTGTGACCTTCACAGCCTCTCTTTCTTTTTTTCTAGTTATTTTTTTCTTTTGTTCCCCTTCCTCCTTCAGATGATACTTTCCATTTTTATTTCAAGAGGTAGCATCGTTCACCTCGCACTTTGGAAGAAGAGTAGATAGTTATTCCAAAATTCAGTGCCGTGCCATTTCTCGCTCACTGGTGAATAACAGAGCACCTAATAGATCCAAAGGTATCATAATCAGGGAACCAAGTGGTATTTTAAACCCAGAATATTTCTTACAGCTTAATTCATCAAAGCACTCGTCCAAACTCGGTGAAAGCTTCCCCATCCATCCCTCCTCAGCTTATTTCCATTTGCCATCCCGCTGCCAGGCAGCTCAGGAGGAGCAGCTAGGTGCTCTGCAACGTTGTGCAAAGAAGTTGCATCCAGTACTGGACTGCACTGGAAGTTCTCCTGAACAAACAAGACCATGTATCCACGTGTCTCTGTCAGTCGAAAGGCGAGCAATTAATTTGCACTGTAATTTCACAGGGCTGCTCCATGTGCCCAAGGAGTTTACCATCTATAAATATTCTCAATAACTAATTTGTATCTAAAATTGGACTTCATTCCTGATGCCTAGAGCTTAAGACAGCCCCATCTGTTAAATAGTAAGCTTATCAGAAGATCTTTCAGTTCAGTGTTTTAATATTCCCTGTTTGGCATTTAAAAGTACTACTGTCAGAAGGAGGAAAGCGGTGAAGCAGGCATAGCAGTGCTGCGCCTGGAGCGAGCCAGATCGCTCGGAGCGCTCACAAGATTCCAAGGAAACTCCTCCCTTCTCTCCTGAAAAGCAAAAAAAAAGTCTTTGGGAAAGTGGAAAAGCAGACAGTCTTTATCAGTCCTACTATTTCAGGACGCCGAGGTGGATTTTTTTTTTTTTTTTTTTTTTTGCGGAGTCTGCATGGAAGGAGTTTTGTGGGATGGCTGCAAAAGGGTGTTGCGTTGTCTGTGCGGGGAGTCTCACCTGCCTGTGCACCGTGGAAATAGTGCTTCCCCAAGGAAAGTGGGTATTACAGAACCAAACGTGTACATGGGAGGACAAAGTAAATTAAAGCATCAAGAGATTTTGCTTTCTGATAGCCTAAAAGTCTAACCATAAAATTCAATATGGCGACAACATAAATAAGCAAAGAAAATGAGAGCCAGTAGAAAAAAACCCCAAGTTCGTATTGTGGCTATAGAAACGTTTTTATTTCCGTGGTGCAGTGAAAGTGAAAAGTGAATTTGTGGGGCTCTGCACCGAGTGGGTTATGCAGGCAAGGAAATGGAATGGAGCCACTGTGCTTCCTCCCAGATGTGAAATAAACATTCAGCAGTAAAACCTAGAAGAAAATGAGTCTGACAGACTCATTCTCCCCTGCGTTTCCTGCCTCCGTGTTTGCCAGGCCTCGTTCGGTGAAGCCAGGCCTTGCCCCCTGTGAATAAGGTTCATAGAGAAGGAAAGGCAAGAGGTCTAAGATGGAAAGAAAAGCGTGGCTTAGCTTCAGAATGTATTAATTAGCAAAGATTTGGGGAAATGATGCATTGGAATGTAAAAAATCAAGCTGTAGGTGTACTGTTGCGATGAAATGAATCCTAAAGCGGGAATAAATGTGATTATATTTTTACTGCCTAGGATATAAGTCAGTCTCACAAAGGAGAGAAACCACAGTCTGGCAAGTCAACACACTCTTCTTCATCTTTCCCATGAATAGGAAGCAAATTCAAGTCAAAATACCAACGAGCATAATAGTTAGTTAGTTATCCTGGCTCTTCCAGGAGGGAGGATATTTCTGTATAGCATAAGAATAGAGAAAGCATACAGTTAAAACGTGCAAATTACACATTGCCCTGCAGTGATGATAAGTGATTTGGGACTTAGCAGGGGGGGAAAAAAAGAATTGCTGTCTATTAGGAAGGGAGGGCTTTGGCGGTGTTGTGTGACTGAGGCCGCCGGAGCATTTTGGGGCCAGTTTCTTTGGCAGGGATGAGGTAGTTGTGCTGCAGCCGTAGTGAATTCCCTGGCAGTTAGGCAGCTGTGATGGTGCGCAGCTGCACACCTGCGCTGTCAGCTAGAGGGGAGCGGGAGATTTGGCTCCGGTGGGATGTTAACCAACTGCCTGGGTGCGCTGGCAGCTGAAGAGGTTATCAGTGTTTCCGATAACCCGGCTGCTCGGTTCGCACACAAGAGGCCGAGCATGGCGTGGCGGCGTGAGCGCAGAAGGACACGGGGCAGGATTTCTGTGCTCGTCTTCTCAGGTCCGACGCTGGCCCACGCTGTGAGCGGCACTGGGGCTCGGTCTCTTGGTTTCCCCGCGGGGGACTGAGCATTGCCTTCCCAGTAGGGCAAAGTTAGGTTTGGCGTTGTCATATCGCAGTGAAATCCACGGACCTCTGCAAACCCTAACCCTTTGAGTTCAGCGGGATTCGGTCTGGGCTCGAGGGTCCCAGATTAGCAGCGTGATTGCTGACTTGGGATTTTATTCATGATGGGCAAGGTGTTCCCCAGTGCACTGGTCTTTCACATCATCCCAGCCCCCTGGCAGGGCTGTGGGGTTGGGGTGGCAGCCTCCATCCTGCAGACCCTCCGCATCCTTTTGGGGAATGGGTCTGACAGTAGGCATGGTGTCTCTGCTGTCCTGTTCCTGCAAAAGCTTGGAATTGCGTCTCCTTGTACATCTTCCATCTGGTCATCCATCCATGCTTGTCTTCATGTCTCCTTCTCCCTGGGCTTTGGCAGGTCCATCATCTCTCAGTTCAGTTGGTTCCTCCCTAGCCTGCTTCATCACTACTTCTTCTGCTCTCCTGCTCCAACATCAGGTCCTGCATTCTTGCTTTTCTCAAGTACCGCGGTTATAAGCATCACCCTTTTTTTCACTAAGCCTTTGAAGCTTGTGCATCTTCCAGTGAGCTTCTGCTCTGCATGTACAGGTTATGTATTATTTGGCTTGCTTCCTTTCCTTAACTATCAAGAACTGGGCTTTCTACAACCCCCACACCCCAGCCCCACATTCACACAGAGAAAAAAATGTCTCTTGTTACCGTATCTTGAATCTGGATCTACCATTGAAATGGAAAGAAGGAAGAATACTTGGAAACAATGAAATAATAGCAGTCAGCTTCAGAGCAGTAGCTTCAGCAAGCACGTGACCTGTGCAACCATCATTTAGACTGACAGGGTGTTAGACATCGCTGCAAACAGGTACTTTGGGAGTCTGAAGGAAGGTGATGTCCTAGTTCTGTGGGTGCCCATCTATGCGAGAGAGTTGTTATGGAAGAAAACATTTCTCAGCTTTGACTGTCGGCTTGCTAAGGATGGGATCGTCCTCTTGGTTTGCTACGTACAAAGTGCTGCGTAATGAAGCCCTGGCTGTTAGCCACTAAAGGAATAGTATTAAGAATGATCACCATCATTGTAATAGGTTAAGATAAATTATGAAGGAGAATGGCTTAATTATTTTTTTATCCAAGCATCCTTGTTGAGAAATCGCAGTGTTGAAAAGATGCTTACTTTTGTTATTGCCAATATGTGACCTCATTCTACTCTCATTGAAATTAATAGAAAAGACCCCAGTGATTTTATTCTTTTTAAAGAATCAAGTCTCTATTATGAGTAATTTCAAAATCAAATATATTTTTTGTCATTACAACTGTTCGGTTTTGCGCATCACTCATCATGGATGGTAAAATGAGGCTTGAAAGGTACTTAAACTTTGTGCCATTACAAATCCAACCATCACTTTGACTAGATTCTGAGGAGACATACATATGTATGAATTTTCAGGGAAAAAATAAACATATATTTAGCCTTGCTTACATATTCCTTGACAAGTAATTAGAAATTACTCATTGCCTGAGTTGATCAACAGTGCAAATAAAACACAAAGCATCCACAGGAGGCAAATTTAGAGCTACTCAATTAATTTGGTTGCATAGGGTTTAAGTCAGGAAGACTTTGTCAATTGGTCTCTACCTTCCTAGATTAGTCTCTGGGGCTGCGTCTCCATAGCTGAAATTTAGCAAAGCGGGGGAAGCTGGTAGAGCTTGTCTTCGGGCCTCCGTGGACCCCGTCAGGTCATTCTGGGTGAGCTGCAGCGGCGAGCTTTTGCTCCCCATCTCCAGGTGATTTCGTTGCTGGATTCCCATGGGTTAGAGACAGGGTTGGTGCATTGGGACTTTCAGTGCTAAGGGAGAAGTTTTCTAAAAAGCTTAAAAAACCCAAACAAGTAATTTTTCCCATTTTTGCTAGTATTTAAAGCACAACACCGCATCATTCAAATGAGAGCTTAAATATATAGTTTAGAAGCGAGTGTAGGTGTTAGCCTCATTACACTGCATTGTACTTGTTGTTGCAAAGTGTAGTAGTGACGTAGTTCAGACGTAACAGATTGTTGTACTTACAATGCTGACGCTAGAGGTAGAGGTGGAACGATGGTATGTTTTCAGGCAATTTGGGGCTGCACAGGACAGCCACAGAATCGAGACTTCCAGCAGGAGGTCAAGTGAAAATGAAAGGGGAAAAACCAGAGGGGAAATGAATGCTCCAAGGGTCTGATGAGGGTTTTTGTTTTGGTTTTTCTTTTTCTGAAATGTGCGTTTTGTAGCACAATTGCACAGATGATACTCCTGGAAGAGTATAAATTGCTTGTGTTTATTGCTTATAGCCGCTTTACAGGGCTCCTTGAGTGACAGGAACACCTATGCAATCTGGAGTGATGAATGAGCCGGGAGCAGTGCAGCTCTCTGATGTTCTGGGGCAGAGTGCCTGCTGTAGCTTTGAATTCGGAAGCAATTATCATCTGATTAATTTTATTTATTTATTTAAGTGACTGGAGAATGCTGTGTTCTATCATTAGACTTGCTCCCACTCAAAAATTAAGCTAGAGCAGTTACTAGACAAAAATCTAGCAACCTGCAAATTTGACACGTACCATTTGTTTTGAATTGGTGTCGTATTATCTTCATTCCTTTGCTGGTAGCCAGAGTCCCAGAAGAGGATGCTTATCAGGCACATTATTTTAGATGTCAAGATCTTACAGGAAAACGAAGTTTGAAATTTGTTTTAAGAGAGTGATAATAAAAAAAGGCAGAGACCAAATCGAAAGGCTTTGTGTGTGGCTTTTTCATTTCATTTTATAGTTGTCATACTACTTTAAACTGATCTTTGCCATCGCAATAATTCATTAGCTGGTTTCCTTTGGTAGTTTCCTAAATCTGTAAGCTGTAGAGCTCTGTGGCACTATTTGGTTTCAGAAAGCTTTGTTGCCTGGCTGCAGATTTCTTAACTTGTTCCACTAAATCTCCTGGCTCAGTAATGAGCGTTTTCTACAGAAATATTTTTGCCACATGACCTAGAGGACGTGTTTTTAATAGAATTTGAGAGTTATGACAGTCATGTTCCATATTTTGCATTTCCATACAAACATAAAATGTAACCACACGGCTGCTTGGAAATCGGTTTGAAAATAAATATGGCAAAACTGAGAAAGGTTTTCTTAAACAAATATAAGAGATGTTTATCTGAAACATTATGGCAAAATGCTTTCATGGTGAAGAGTTTTTAAGTGGTTTGACTATGCAAGGGCTTATAACTCTGAGGAAAAACGTCTTTGCTGTGATTTTATTTGATTTGGTTCATGGGCACCTCAAGGAACCATAATTGTGTCAGTGACCTGCTCCAGCTGAAGGGACTGTAGCGCAGTAAGATTGATTAACTACCGGTTGAAAAAAATCCTAGTTTTCTGTTATTCTCTGGCTGCAGTCTTAAATATTTTATGGCAACACAGACAAGTTTGTGTGACGAATGCATGTTAAAATATTTCTGACATCGAATGCCAGAGCAAAAGTCATAAATAACTCTCCTTTTCATTTTCTTTAAATTGCGGATGTGTGAGTCTCTGTCATAATTACATGTGCCAGTTGGAGATTTAAATGCATTACACTTTATGCACTTGACTTAAGAAATGAACATTAGTCTTTGAGGAGGTGGGCCAAACCTGACACTTCCTCGTGTAGCACAGATACGGTTCGATTTATGCAGTCCTCCCTTCTTTCCAAATGGTTATTGATTACATAAATAATGAGGTAATTTTTCTCTTTCAGAACTTTGCAGAAAACACTATGAATGAGCTCCTTGGCTGGTATGGTTATGATAAGGTTGAATTGAAAGATGGAGAAGATATTGAATTCAGGAACTACTCGACAGACGGGGAAAGCCGCCAGCACATTTCTGTTCTCAAAGGTAGTGAGACTTAATGTTTCTGTGTTCACGCAAAGAAGGATTAATATCTCAACCTGTCTGAATTGGCATGGACTGGGAAACGTGTTCTGCTGTTTGCGTCGTGGTTGGTTTAAATGAAAATATCAGAGAGCGCCTTCTGGTACGAGGAAGCCAATAGGGTACGAGGAAAATCACTTAACAAAATTGCTGTTAGTTGGCGCTCACTAATATATATTCATAAAAAATACCTTTTGTGAGTCAGTTGAAAGTCATGTACCTGTGGTACTGATAAACTGCTCACAACTGGGAAAAAAGAGAGCCTTTTCTTAGCAGTGTGGCTTTCAGGAACCCTTTTGCTTTCAGGACTAAGGCTTTTAGCCTATGGCTTTTTAACACACTGAAAGATTTTAAGCTAGAATATTCACAACGCGTGGAATATTCACAATGCGTGAACATTCACAAAAGGCTCCTCAGGGATGTTTGTGCTATACTGTCTTCCGCAAGTGCTGTAGAAATTCTCCAGGGGTGGAATTTGTTTGGGACAGTGCTGGATCTATGTGTGCTGTAGATTCAAAAGGTGAAGGATGGGATCCAGTCTGTTTGTTCAGCCGTTCAGTTCCTCCCTTCTGACTCCTCAGCCGCAGCAAATGGGTAGGGGCTTGTCGTCAGAGTGAAGAGACGAGTAGGAAATTGCCGCATCTTGACTTACCCAACAGGAGTTTCTCAAAGGTGAGGTAAAGAGAGGAAATTGCCGCAGCTTTTTTTGCTCTCGGACTGCCACACTGCGTTTGCGGCCAGCAGTATTTGGGTTTTCTTTCTGCTGGCTGGCAGCAGCACTGTATTCAGGGAGTGTTGTGATGAGTACTGGTATCAGAGAGACTGGTTCTGAAGGAGAGGGGGCTAGAAAAAAGGTGGAAAAATTAGAGGTAAGGTGGAATAACCTAATCGTGTTAAAATTGAATGTTTGCAGCTTGTTAGTTCTGTAGTGACACTGGTGATCAATACTTATTTTTCAGTCAAAATGCAATGTCATTAAGCCACCTTTGAAGAAACTTGTTCCTGTGTAGCAGGATTCATTTATTTATGTTCTAATAAATAGATCTTTTATTGGATGATTTGTGGCTCCAGTCTATGCCTGATGAAATTTGTGACATAGTTGGCTTTTTTTATAGACACATGACACAAATCATATGTTTTATGTATCAAACAAAGATGTTGAATACCTGTGCCAGGTAGAAATTTTTGGTGTACACAGTCTATGGGAGGGAAAAAAGCGTGTTTCTTTTTCTGAGAGAGGGGAGGAGAGGGAATAATAAGAATTAAGTCCTGCCCCATAGCTAAGTGAGGCGCGCTAGAGAAATTCCTACAAATAAGAATCCTGAGGTGATTTGGGATTAAAGAATTAGAATAACTGTCATCATTTCATGCACACTTTGCTGTAACTTCAGTATTTTATTTCTTTTTAAAAATCCTTTCCATTACTACTACTCATATTATTGATAGAGAATTAGGAATTCTTTTATTTTTTGGTTTATGCTTCTTGTATTAGTGAAGTCACAGTACACTGAGTGTAATCACCATGCAAACAGGAGAAGTGAAGGACAGGAATAGGGTGTCATTGGTTAAATCAGGTGTACTAAGGATATGCATGACAAAATAATCTCACCTTTTGGCAAAAAAAACAAGTTTGAGTTTGATTTTAAAAAAATTGAGCCTTTCTGAAGAATACTGGAAATTATCCATTTTTTAAAAGCGAAAATATCTGGGTTTTTTGTGCACTCTTCTTGTATTAGGGTAAGTGATTTAATGAACAGATTGGCGAAAGTATGTAGGGGCATTTAAGAAATACATTTGTCATGCTGTACAATGTGTTCTTTGTGTTTTACAGAAAATTCTTTGCCAAAACCAAAATTACCTGAGGACAGTGTTATTTCACCGTACAATATAAACCCGAGCTACCCAGGGCTTGCCACAGGAAATGGACTTTCAGACTCACCAGCAGGGTCGAAGGATCACGGGAATGTACCTATAATTGTCCCATTAATTCCACCACCTTTCATAAAGCCACCAGCAGGTAAATCCTCGTGATGATCATTTAAAAATGGTTACTGTCACGTGTCCTGAGATTGCTAGATCATGACATCTTTGTAAGAGGGCTGATTTCAAAATCTTTAAAAACCAATCATGGGAAACTTTAAAACAGAGTGGGAGAGTAACTTTATTTGTTAATATCCTTGAAAAACTTCTGCAAATGCAATGACAACAGACTCGTGCTGCTTGTGACACTGCGTGCTGGATTGTACGCTCGGCACTTCAACAACATCTGCTTTTAGGGGAAAAAAAAAAAGATTTTGTTTTGATGAGTAAAGCCTTTAAGTAAATTAATGGAAGATGATTAAATTAAAAATAGGCTCCACGAAGGAAATAGCAAAAGAGACAAAGCCATCAAATCAATATCATGTCTTTATATCAGGTTAACAAGCTCATCCTGGGAAAACTGTCTCTTGATTCTCATTGAAATCCCTGACCGTTGTCTCTTGAGGGTTTAATATGATCTTGACTCTACCCAGGAGACTGCGCCGAGATGTTTTACATTTTCATTAGATTTTTATCGGGAGTGATTTTATAACATGCCATTCCTCAGAGTTTGTGTGAAAAATGATTTATTCCACGCTGCATGCTGCGTACCATAATCTGTGAAAGTAACTGTTACGGCTACACCAGGGTGATTAATTGCTATGTTATTGTTTACTGCTGTACACGGTGCGATAAATGGTGAATTCAGATAGCGGCAGGCTCAGTCCCGCTTCCGCGGACGTCCCTGGGTGTCGTTCTGGGTGCTCTCGGGTGACCGAGGCGCCGAGGAGTACAGGGTGACCTGCGAGACCGGCCCGAGAACGGCAGCTCTTTCCGCGCGTGGGGAGGCAGCCTGGCTAAAGAGTCCCCGCTGGGTGGGAGGACGCTTCTGCGGCGGCGGAACAGCCTGTAGGATCAGGTCCCGGGTGTTAGATGGTCACCTCTGTCCTTTGTTGCATTGACAAAAGGTAACTAAAATACCGATCGGTCCAACAAAATTGTTTGCCTGTTGACTGACAATCGTGTGAGAGACTACAGTTGCCCCTCCCAAATTATTTTTATGCCATTGAGTTTTATCTCTAAAGAAGTGTACTAATATGCTATGAATAATTTTCAAATGTTACTCAATATGCATTCCCTGCCAAAGACTTTTCATCTATTTTATAGGATATTTGCTAATTACCAAAGCTATTTGGGCCTATTCCTGCAGCCTTTACACAGCTAAAGATCTCGGGCCATATGGGCTGGATCCTCAGCTGTTGTTGGTTTGGCCCTAAAGCTTTAATCAAGGGCTTGTGCCATCCCAAGCTATTTTCTCCTCCAATCTGAGTCATGAATGAATCCAGAATGCTGAATTTGTGGTACGCGGAACACAAGGCTGTAACATGCATTGTACAAACTGCCACAGTTGCTGGATTTTTATGACATCAAACAAGCAGGAGGAGATGGAACTATGAAGTAGAAAAACAAATTACTGCAACAGTAGTTAAGGGGACACAGGGGAACCTTGGCCAAGTCAGCTGCCTTCTGTTCTTTGCCCATCCACCTACCGTGTGTGATCCCGTGTTCAAATGGACTGGGAAGGGTAATGTGCAGAGAAGGCTTTTTGTAAATATTTTCCAACTTTAGGGTTTTATTTTAATAATTCATAATGAATGTTGTTGTTTTACTCACGTAGGGGATATGAACACGTAATCTCTGCCTCCTCTGACTTTACCCCATGATCAGTAATGAGCGCTAGAATACCATAACTTCTGAGCAGATGAGTGTATTTACCTCACCTTTGTTTTAGAGAGCAAAGTTTGGGAAGACCGGAGGGAAGAGGAACCACAACCTTTGTGGGATTTGCAATAAGCATCGGTAGTAATTGTTTTGTTTTATCTTAGGGCGTAGGTGCCCTAGTCATGATCACCCCAGAGAGGCTGGCAAGAAACAACTGGTGAATACAAGTAGAAAAAGCAGTACAAAGGAGCCAGGGGAGCCGGCGTGCGAGGCAGTGGTCTTGGCACTGCACTTTGACACCATTTTGTGGGCACTACATCAAAGCAAAAAACTTCAGAGTGATACAAAGCCGGGCAAGAGTAACTCTGGGGATGTTTTCTAGGAGCCCCTCACAAGCTCAGGGGGCAACTTAGGAAACAGCGCAAAGGTACTTCTTTGAGTTGAGCAGGCACATGAAAAAGACTGGCATCATTAATTGCTAAAGCTGAAAGTCAATGTTTGCAACATGGGGGAGACACAGGCTATGAATGACCTGCCACAAGAGCAGAAGCGGCTTACATTTGATTGAGTTAATAAATGAAGAAAGGGAACAGGAGGGAGTAGCAGAAGGAGTTCCAAGAGAAAGCATCAAGGTTAAAATGCTGGGCAGAGAAAGGTATCTTCGCAGCCTGCTTTGAATGGACACACATAGGTCCAGGTTACGTTACAGGCCAGAGAGAAAACCAGGTAGTGATGCGCTGCAGTGCCTGAGATGCTGAGAATTGGGATGAGTCCAGACTTTGTGGATGAATGGGTAAAGCTTTTAGATATTGTACAGGAGAAAAATCTGCAAGATTTAAATGTAGCTCAAAAGAGAGTGCCCACAGACAAAAATGTTATCTAAATCATGAACCTGAAGGACAGGAAAGATGATGGTGTGGTCCACCATTATTGAGCAAATAATATGGAGTGAGCACTCAGGGAGAAATTATTAAGACTTTAATTCTTGCTGTATTGATCTTGAGCTGAAGGGTCTGCACCAGTAAAGAAGTGTCAGAGAGACAGGCTGAGGTATTTATTTGGACAGGAGAGCAATGGTCTGGAGAGGATAAGCAGATCCAAGAAACAGTCATGATGAATTATTAGTTGAATGATTTTTGCAGATAAAATTCTATATGGATAAGAGGGAGAAGAGAAAGAGCAGAGCTCAGGGGATGGTCACAGGAGCCTGAAGGGAGAAATAGGAAGGATTCTCTGTAAGGTGCACTTATGGAGCATGGCAGAGGTGGAAAAAGCACTGGGGGAAGACAGCCAGGAAGCCAAGGGAAACAGGATTTCCAGGGAGGCAGGTGTGATTCTTGGTATCAGAAACAGCTACCAGCTCGAGGAGGAGGGAGGAGTGCTGATCCTGAATTATGTCTAGGAAGCAGTCATTCAAGATTTCAGCAGATTATGTCTTCCTTGAGTGTGCTGGAAAACTTTGAACAGTGTCCTATCTGCATTCATACTTTGAATGAACAGGCTGAAACTTTGAACAGTTAACGCAATTATCTTTTTTTTCCCCCTCATGTTTATTTTGCAGTAAAGTGTGGGGTTTTTTCCTTGGAAAACCAAATAATTTTGAGCAGTCTGACTAAAATTTTATCTCCAAGCTGTTCAGCTTTCTGTTTTAGTCAAATGAAATATTAGATAAACATTTGCTTATACAACCCTGGAAAGCGTTAGACTGCTACCTGAGCAAATATAAACAGCTCTGATAAAGGCACTGTCTCCTTGCTGTATCCCAAAAATTACACCCTAAAAAGGCTGAGTTAAACGCATGGGCCCTGTGTGGTGCACTGTCTACAGGCTCAGCTTATGGCATGTCAGTGGAGGGTACTAAATCCAGTCATGGGAAGCCTCCACGAGAAGGATGCTGGTTACTCACGTATGGAGACCATTTGCGAGAGCACTCCGCTCACCTGCACCACCAGGTAGAGAGACCAGGCTCAGGCAGTGCCCAAATAAAAGGGGGCTCTACCAGTCAACAGCAGCTGTCCGACCTACATCTGGAAGCAAATAAGAAGTCAGTGCAGCCTCCAGAGAGTTGGCATAATAGTCTTCTTGTGGCTGATAACCGTCCTTCTTGCCCAGCAGGCTATGTTTAGTGCCAGATTCTGAGTGATCTTCAGGGTTAGTTTCCAGTATAACCCATTGCGACAAACTGATACTAAGATTAGTTCTGCTTGGTGTTAGAGGATTATTAAAAAATTTTAAAAAATACATAGAAATTAAGAAATTACATAGAAATAGCAAGGAACAAAAAGGCAATACCCAGGAGCGATCTTGAAATGGAAATCCCACCACAGTTGTGCAGGGTGTATGGCCATAGTACGCCACATGCAAACATCCTAACTGTGATTCTGCAGCCCTTAATGATACCATAAATCTGAGAGGGCACTTAGGGTGACTCTGCCCGTTCGCTCAGACAAGTTTGGACGGCTGTTGTTACATGGGATGAAGGAAGGCTAAAATCAAGACTAGTCAAAGAAGAATGCAAAACATTCTTTCAATGCAGGCAAGAACATGCTGCCTCCTTCCCCCAGCACCTGCTGGAGGCTATGGTGTCTCAGTTTCCCCCTTTTTTTTAAGAACACTCTTTGGTTTACTTTCTCTTGTGATCCCAATGGTAGTGCCTCAGTAGGGGAGGTACAACTGCCGTTTGGTGTAGCCTTTGAGCACGGGTGTCGGCAAAACCTTTCCCTTTCCTGCCTCCTTCTGCGTACAAGCGATGCAGAGGGTACGTCGGCTGTTCCGAGCACCCCAAATGAGGACCGGTTCCCTGCTGTGCTGCGCTGCGAGGGGAGGTCGCTGTCAAGGGACACAGAGGAAGGGGAGGCACAGAGGGCGATACCGTGCAGTTCGCTGAGCTTTCCACAGGGGAAAAAAAAGTACAAGGGAAAAATAACGCTCCCTCCAAGGGTTTTCACAAGATAATGAGCATATTTGGGAAAGGAAAGGGGATTTGAATCTTCCAACCCGCAGATCACTGCCTCTACATAATGTTTGGTTTGGTGGTTTCCAAATGATAATGATTGGGGTTGTACTTAAAGTTATCAGGAACCAGCGAAAATGAAGGAGGACTGGGCTGGACAAACCATATCTGATGAGGCAAAATGTCTTTAAGGAGGAGCAGAAGAATTTCCAGTACAGAGTACCTTGTAAGATAGGCCTGCGACCTAACTTGGCAAGGAACTGTCATATTCAAATACTAAAATGAGTAATTAGATATTTTATAGAAAGGAACAAGTGATTTTC